TAACAATTGAACTCAATATGTTCGTGCACTTATTGACTACATCATTATGACTTATGAGCAACGGAAACCAAACTAGTAGAAAAGTGAACCATCAAAAACCAAAACAGACCGAACCAACAGCAACCAAAACAAACAGAACTAGCAGAATCACCGGCAGCGAAACCATCAGAATCATGCACCAAGTCAAAAGAAACATAGTACCAAGTGTAGAGATCACCAAACGATAGAAATCTGAACCCAAAATGGATCCGAAAAATAAAATAGTGGCTGTAAAAGAAGCAACAAGAATGAAGAGCTTAAAGCTCTGATACCATATATGTTAAAAATTGAAAAAATGAAATATTCGAAAAAAGTTTTATTATTTTTGTATCTTCATTATATATACAGGAGAGCTATTTATAAATTATACAATAGAATATTTTTAAATACAAAATAAATTAACTTAATTATATAATTAATTATATAATTAATTACAACGTGAAGATATTAATTTATTCTATAAGAAGATAATTACAACACATTATAATTATAAGTATGCTTATTTATGTTAAGATTAATTAAGATAAATATAATAAAATTTTATCAATTACTTATTACATTCTTACTTTTTTATACAAAAAATCACACCAACTAAAATTGAATTGAGGGAATATTTATTAGCACTACATTATCATAAATCAAATGGTACACGCAAAGACAACTTTCCTTTTTTGTGTTTAAATATCCACCAGAACCAAAAACCAACATTTAAGTCTTCTTACTTTTCCATTGATTCAACCACTATTTCTTTCTCCGCATCCTCAATAACAAGAAACAAAGCTAGGGTTCTGCTATGGAAGATGTAGTGGAGAATTCCTTGGATTAAAGGGAAACCGAAAACAAGGAAATTACCACAAAACAAGAGCATGGTCTTACCACCATACTAGTCAGACAGTTGGTGATGAGACCACGCTTTTGTTCTTTGTGAAGATCTGATACCTGTTGTAAAAATAGTAGAAATTATATTCAAGATAGGTTAAATATCCTTTTTGGTCCCTCTACTATTGAAAAAAGCTCTTTTTTATATCTGTATTGAAAAAATCTGCTTTTTAATCCCTAAAGATTGAAATTTAGTCCCTTTTCGGTTCCTCAGTTAAATTTCTTGACAGATAACAATTAATTAATAGAATTATGTGATATGAAAAATTCATTTTGTAAAAAAAAATAATGTGGACATATTTTTGAGTTCATATCAGCATCTCACCCTTCTAATTTTTTTGTTTTTTTTATAACTTATGCTAGATTTATCGCGAACTCAGGCGCGCCTTCAGTTCGGAACGAACCAAGCGCACGTCTAGTTGGATTCGTCTTGGGTTCGCGAAGAAAAATCAGCAGCTTATTGCCTTGGGTAAACAGTGGGTGGTTTTAATTAGTTTGGCATCACTCAAAAACAACAGTAAGCTTTGAGATTTTCATCTTTCAGGGAGGTAGGCTAGAAAAGAAAACATGAAATCAGAGACGCAAGACTTGATAAGATAAATGTAACAAATTACATTAATATGCTTGATAAGATAAATAAAATATCCAAAAAAATATGCTTGATAAGATAAATGTAACAAATTACATTTCAGTTACACGATATGCTCCGATCTCTACGTTTCAGCCGGTTCAGCTTCATTTTGCTCGGATTTTGAAACACAAGGACCATATTTCCTGTCGCAAACGAGGAAATAAAATAGATTTTAGAAAGTGATTGCAGCTAAAACCCAGTAGAAATAGTCCGAAGGAGCTTCTGTCATGTCATTTGACATCATGGCTTTCCCCCCTCTCCTGGCTAGCGCACACACGACTTGTACTACAAGCCCAGACAGCCAATTACCTACAATCATTCCCTGCACCAATAGGGTAACAGCAACGCTTGTCACGGTTTTTGGGAGTTCAGTATAGAAGAACTCCGTTTGTCCTGCTGCAGTGAATCCTTGGGCTAATCCATGCAAACAATATTGTGGCAAAAGCCACATTGCAGACATATTCTCCGTTCGGACAGCTTTCCTTTGTCCAAGGCTCTCAACAATGGCTGAAGCTATCATTGCCATCCATGAAAGTAAAAGGCCTATTCCCATTCTTATTTTCACACTGAGCTGCAACGGTTCACCCTTGATCTTAGAGGCCAAGGGGAGAATCCAGCGCGCGCCTGGGTGAGTTCGTCCAAGGTTCACCCTAAAGACCAGATTTTAATTTTTAGAGACTAAAAAAAAGATATTTTCAAAATTAAAATAGGGTTTTTTTCAATAGTGGAGGAACAAAAAGGGTATTTAACTTTGGAGATAAAGGCCTGTTTTGAGTTTGAATATATAAGAAAAGGAATTTGAGAGTTACGAAGATGGGAGATAAGAGGCATAATAAGGGAAATGAGAAGATGAACAACGTTGAATTGCTTGGGGGAGTAAAATCCAGCCTTTTTATAATAATAGTTAATGAAAACTAACAATCGCTAAAGATGAGGGAGTAAAACCGATGGGAGTAGACCTGAAGCTCCGCTTAAGGAGCGACTGCCGTTTGAGTAGGCAACCACTTGGAACAATTCTTCTTGCTACCTAAACATTATTTAAAAATAATAATTTTTCTCCCATCCATGTAAACAAAGATTTTAAATTATTTTTCACTTGAAGAATACTATGAATTTTCAGGTTAACCTGTTGAAAATG